CGTGACGCTGCTGCTGGGCCCCCACGGCTGGGTGGAGCACGTGGACAACGGCGTCAGGTAGGAGCCGGGCGCGCCGGCCGCCGCTGCCGGCCGCGGCGCTGCGCCCACCGCGYGCGGCGCCTCTCCTAGGTACGCGTTCGACGTCACCAAGTGCATGTTCTCCCCGGGGAACATCACGGAGAAGCTGCGGGTGGCCTCGCTGCCGTGCGCCGGGGAGGTGCTGGTGGATCTCTATGCAGGTRATGCCTCGGGGTGCACGGGCGTTTTGCAGGGCAGGCCCACACACAGATAGCAGGTGCTCGTGGGACCCACACCATTAATTGGGCGTTGAAAAATCACCCAGTTCAGCAAATATTTTGCCATCAAGCTTCATCCAAAAGCTCTCAGCTCACCTGGTGCYGCTGCCCCTCCTGCATCCCTGCTGCTGTTTGGGCTCACTAGGTGACCTCTGGGCTTAGGCTGTGCGCTGCTCACAGGAATCATTTCCATCCCAAGAAAAGACTTTCCCTGCTTTATAGCACTGGATATTGCTTCTGGGAAGCTTGTATAGATGTCCTGAGTGTGTGCCAGGTGTGACAACCTTCTGTGATAACAGACGCGTGCAGCAGGTTGTGACTGCTCCTGTGAGATGACTGGGGAGATGGTGTCAGGCTTTTGTGTGTGGGGAGAGCTGCTGTTTTACGTCTGGGGAAGCTAATGTTTCCAGTTGGTGCCATGTGAAGGAATGCGGCACTTGCAAAATTGCCCTCGATTCATTACAATAAATGGTAGAAGCAGAGCAGGGCCAGGCAGATCTTAAACTAACAGGCAAAGACTGGTCGTAAAATAAATTGGTGAGCAAGTGAACGTTTTTCAAAACTGATTTTGATTTGTGGGAGAACAAAAAGCCATTTTATGGCTGTTTCTCCTGCAATTTGTCCCCTTCTGACCCAGCGCAAAGCAGATGTGTAGGGAGCCAGGCAGATAACCCCGTGGCCGAGCYGCGGAGCCGGAGCGAGGCCTGTGCCCGCAGCATCCGCGTGCCCTGGTGCCCGCAGGCATCGGCTACTTCACGCTGCCGTTCCTGGTCCACGCGGCGGCCGCCTTCGCCCACGCCTGCGAGTGGAACGGGCACGCCGTGGAGGCGCTGCGCCGCGGCCTGGCGCTCAACGGCGTGCAGGGCCGCTGCCGCATCCACCGCGGCGACAGCCGGCGGGTGAGCGGCGCCGCGCGGGGCCCCTCCGCCCGCCGCGCCGCGCCGGCCCCGCTCACCGGCCCTCCCGCCACAGCTGCGGCTGCGCGACGTCGCCGACCGCGTCAACCTGGGGCTCCTGCCCAGCTCCGAGGAAGGCTGGCCCGCGGCCTGCCGCGTGCTCAGGAAGGACACGGGCGGYGTGATGCACATCCACCACAACGTGGAGGCTCTGCCCGCGCCCTCCAGGGCACGGCGCGAGGACRGGGAGCACCGGGAGGACACGGAGCGGCGGCAGCACCCGGAGGACACCGAGCAGTGCGGCGCGGGGACGCGGGCGGCCCGGGGGCGCCCCGAGTGGTGGAGCTGGGCAGAGGCGGCCGCCGGGCGCATACGGGCGCTGCTGGAGGAGCTGCACGGGCGGCCCTGGAGCACCAGCATCCTGCACATCGAGGCGGTCAAGTCCTACGCACCCCACGTGCACCACGTCGTGCTGGACCTCGAGTGCCGGCCCACGCTGCCGCCGTAGCTGGCCGAGGGCCTTGGCACGGCTCGAGGTTGGGGAAAGCGGATCCAGGTGCTGCACGTGTTTTTATGCTGGAAACAGGATTGTTCATTTCACTTTTTTCTTACTTTTTTTGCATAAATGAGGACATTTGCCAGCTCTGTAGTCCGTGTGCAGTCAAAATGTAAACACCAGAGCAAGCGGTGGGTCCTGCTGGGTGACACTGTGTCTCGGGGCAGCGGGTGGGGAGGTTTTWGCTTGGGGGCCTTTGCTTGGCTGCCCTGTCCTCAGTCCTGTGCATGCCCAGAGCCCTGCACGAGGGGCCTGGGGAGGCCTGAGCTCTGCGGGGCCATTTCCATTCTCATCCTGCCAGGTCTGTGGCAGCTCCGCTCGCTCCTCGGTGTCCTCATGGCATCAAGGACTCTGCTCAGCTTCCTCTGCTCCGCTCGCTTTGCTCTTGTGACCCTCCTCGCTTGCACATTTGCTGCTTTGCAAGTTCATTTGCTCCTGGGCTTGCAGAGGGAGCGACGTGGGAAGTGACCCTGCGGGCTGCTCGTGCAAGGTCTCCGCAGCCGCGTGCAGCGCGGGGGCTGCCCGAGCTGGATGCCCTTTCCATGCACGGAGCAGCTCCCATTGGGCTCTCCTCCCACGTGCCGGCCCTGACTCCAGCGGCGCAGCTCGAGCAGCGGGTGCAACCGCRTCCTGGCATCGCGGCAGAGGTTGCTCCCTGCTGCCTCTGCGTCCCAGGGGGAGAGGCCACGTCCACGCTGCGCCCCACGCCCCACGCTGCGCCCCACGCCTCTCCGCTGCCCGCGCAGTTCCGTGTTGCCGTGCAGCTGGGCCGCATTCCTGGTGTGGGCAGCGCTGCTGGACGGCGCTGCTTGTGGGACTCTGCCGTGCCAGGGCAGACGGGCTGCGCRCGGACAGGGTCGGGACCAGAAACAGCACCGGGCTCTGGGCCGAGCTGGGTGAGTGGCCGGGCCGGGGGGGCAGCCCCCTCGACTGCCGCGGGGCCCTGCGGGACGGGCAGGCGCCGTCCCGGGGCCCGCACCACGCAGCCGGTACCGGGGCGGGGGGGTGGCCAGGACCAGGGACGCCCCCCGGCGCCGCCCCCGCGCAGGTACGGCGGGCGCGGCCCCTTTAAGGAGCTGGCACCGCCCGCCCCGCGCTGTCGCCGGGCCGGAGCCGCGCAGGTACCGAGCCGGTACCGGGGTGTCCCGCGCAGGTACCGGGGGGCCCCGCGCCGCCCCCGGGCCCCTCCCGCCGCCGCGGGGCCCGCCCCGCTCTGCCCGGCTCCCCCCGTGCCCCCCCGGCCGGGGCTCCCCTCTCCCCAGCGCGGGACACGGAGAGCGGGCGGCGCCGCGATCCTCGTCGGGGCGGCCGCGGCCGTGCGGSGAGCGGCGCTGCTGCCGCCCCCTCGACGTGACCCCCCTGCCAGGTGCCGGGCTCTGCCCCCGGGTCGGCTCCCTGTAGAAGCGGCTCCCAGAGCGCTGCCCGACGCCCGCGCGGGGCACGGGGGCTCTCCAGGTGCCCGGCGCTGCCTGGATCCAGCGGGAAGGTGGACGCGGCGGTGCCGGATCCGTCCTGCGCAGGTGGCAGGGAGGGAACGGCCTGGCAGGGTGGTGCTCTCCAAACAGGAGGTTTCAGCTCCGGACCGGGAGCCTTATCTGCGGCGGGAGGCTGTGTTTGCGGTGTGACAACAGGCTGCCGCCGCGGCAGCCCGGGCGCCGGCGAGCGGAGCTGGGAGGGACAGGAAGGGCGCTCCCGGGAGCCGCCGGAGCGGGGACTTCCTGCAGGAGCAGGAGCTGGAGCAGGAGCCCGGCGGGCAGGCGGGCGGGAGGCAGCCCGGGACGGTGCAGCCGGCCGCGCCGGTGCGGGACGAGCTGCAGAGCGGCCGAACCCGCTCCTGCCCCGCGAGCGGGGCTGCCGGGCGCGCGGGGCCGGGGCGGGAGGTGCCTGGCTGGGAACCGGCGCGTGGGTGCAGCCGGTCCGATGTCAGCCCCACGGGAGCTGCTTGGGCTTCCAGGCCTGCTCCTGGAGCGTTCCTGCTCCAGCCGAGCTGTTGGGCAGGGAGGAGCTGCCTTCCCTGCCGCTGCTCCGGAGGGTCCTGCCGAGGGGCCCGGGCATCGCTGTGCCGGGCGGTGCTCACGGCTGTCCTTGCTCCCAGCACAGACGTCTCCAGCTGCTCCTGTTGAGGGCCAGCGGCTGCGGAGCGAGCCATGTCGGAGGCAGTGGATCTGTCCTTCCTGTCCGACGCCGAGAGGGAGCTCATCCTGCAGGTCCTGCAGCGGGATGAGGAGCTCCGCAAGGCGGAGGAGAGGAGGATCAGGTGAGATGCCGCCCTGCGCGGTGGGAGGGCCGTGCTCGGTGCGGTGCCGCGCTCAGCGCCCCGGCGTTCGTGCCCGAGCAGGCGCCTCAAGAACGAGCTGCTGGAGATCCGTCGCAAGGGCGCCAAGCGGGGCAGCCAGCGCTACAGCGAGCGCACRTGCGCCCGCTGCCAGCAGAGCCTGGGCCGCGTGAGCCCCAAGGCCAACACCTGCCATGGCTGCAACCACTTGGTGTGCCGCGACTGCCGGGCCTACGGCCCCAACGGCTCCTGGCGCTGCAAAGTCTGCACCAAGGAGGCGTGAGTACACGGCACCACAGGTCCCTTCTGCTCCTCCTGGCCCTTTCCTCTTCCTGGTCACCCCGGCTCGTCAGTTCCTGTGCTCCTGTTGGGCYCTTGTCCCTCCCTGCAGGACGGTTGTCCCTGCTGCAGTTTATCCGTGCTCTCCTTCGGGTGGATGCCCTTCACAAGTGGTTGGAAAGCTGGGTCAGATCCCATTCTTGGGTGTCCTTCCTCCTCTCCTTGCTGCTCTTCACCCCTTGACTCYATGCATCTCCCCCATGTCCCTTGCCCAGCTTGTGTGTCAAGCACCCCAGTTTTTCTCCCCTTTGCCCCAGCTCCCCATAACCCCCCTGCCTTGGGCCCAAGGTCTTCCCTGGCGCAGCACCTAGGCCGTGCTCAGCCGTGCACTGAATGTGCCGGTTTGTCTCAGCCTGCTTCCACCAGCGYGGGCAGCTCCAGGCTGCTGCAAGGCGCTGGGGACAGCCCCTCACTGCCCCCCATTCCGCAGAGAGCTGAAGAAAGCGACGGGTGACTGGTTCTACGACCAGCGGGTCAATCGCTTCGCCAACCGSCTGGGCAGCGACCTTGTGCGGCTGTCCCTGCGGTACAAGGCTGCAGGTAGGGGCTGTTGGCGAGGGGGGGCRAGAAGAGCCGTGGGGGTCTGCGTGGGGTCGGCTTCACCCGCCGCTCCGGGCGGCCCTGCTTGCTCCTTCGGGCTCCTGTCCCCTTTCAGCCAGCAAAAGGGAGACCGTGGGGCAAACCCTCCTCCAGAAGGCCCAGCTCAGCGATGCCAAAAGCTCCTCTGCAGCCCAGCAGAAGAGCCCCCAGGAGCCAAGGAAGGGGCCCAGGTGAGGAAGGCCTGTTCTGTGGGAGCCAACAGGGAGCTGTTCCTCAGGCTTGTCCTCACCCCATCTCCTCCTCCTTCGCTGCTCCTCTCTCAGGGCTTATGGGGAAACAGAGCAGATCCATGGGTGCATTTCTGTTGTCCCTCATGCTCCTGCCGTCTGCTACGGGAGCGAAGCTGGCACCGTGCTCTGGTGATTCAAGGAGGCTCAGACTGGCCTCCTTGCCAGACAGGACATACCTGTGGTTTTGTTTGTCTGCAGTTCGTTTCCCGATGCCTCAGACCCTCGGGATGGCAGGAGTGACACAGAGTCTGTGGAAAACATGAGCCTGGACAGCTACAGAGCCAGCACTGGTGGCGCAGGGGGCACCTGCAGGTAAGGAGCAACCTGGGCAAGGTCTGGGCTCTTTGCCTGTGGCAATACAGCTCTGGCTGAGAACGAGCGCCTTCATCTGAAGGGTGTTTTTGTCTGATCGGCTCCTTGCGGCRCTGAGCGTTGCCTTGGGCAGGCAGGGCCCCTGCTCCCCGGGCTGGGATGCTCCAGCCTCGCTCGCAGGGCTGCTTGGGGCGTGTTGACAGAGAGCATTTCCCAGCCAATACGTGGTTTCCAGCAGTGCTGCTCCGGCTCCCTGCTGGGCTGAGATGGATTATTTCTCCACGGTGTCTGCAGGAGGAACTCTCTGGATAAAGCTGCTCCCAGCAGAGAGGGAAAACAGGTCCCTGCGCCAGCAGGATCTGCTGCGTCCAGTCTGACCCTCCCTGTGCGCTCCAGACACGCGCTCCCCGCTGCCGACGGACGGGTGCGTGTCGCTGCTCTTCCAAGGCTCCATCCCGTGGGATCTGGGCCTGGGAGCTGGGTCCTGCTCCCTCCAAAACAGCAAAGCTTTTCCCTCTTAGGAGGCTTCTCTGGGAAGCCGAAGCAGCGTGTTGGTGGATGAGCGTGAGCCTATATTCAAGAAGAATCCCCGGAGGGTCGTGAGACCTGCGGGTGAGAGCACTGAGGAGGAGACTTGTGAGCTGCCCTATGTAGGGGAGGACAGCCAGGTCTCTTTGGGATGTGTTGTGATTCTGGTGCAAATGTAAGAGCAGCTTATATCTGGGACATATATATATATTTTATATGTGTATATATTTTACATATATATGTATTATAAGGGTAGTTCCTTGCAGTGAGGGCTCAGTGGGGTATGCCCGTCTTGTAACATGTATCCTGGCCCTGCCTTCCCACCTCCCATGCAGAATACACCAAGTCAGTGATTGACCTGCGCCCAGAAGACTTTGTGGGGCAAAGCAGCTCTCTGGGAGACAGGAGCAAATCGGTGCCTGGCCTCGCCACAGAGCTGGTAAGACCCCTTGGGGCGCTGCGAGTGTGAGGCAGAGAGGCTGCCGGCCTCCAGCAGCCTCCCTGGTGCTCCCTGCGTGGGTGGCTTGTCCCTCGTGGCAGGACGAGGAAGAGGAAGACATCGATAACCTGGTGGAGATCCATCGGCAGAGGGTGGCCCGGGGCAGCATGCGCAGCGGTGCGTCCTCGGTGAGTGTCCCTGTCCTCGTGGTGCGCCGGCAAGGAAGCGTGGAGAAGGGTGGCTGCAGGCTGGGGCATGGGAGCAAGAGAKCTGGGCACAGAGGTGTGGTCCCTTTCCATGGGATTTAAATTATGGAGGCCCAGCTGCTTTCCGTCGAGCCTGAGTATGAAAGGAAGACTCTT